CCAATGTTCATGATGTATAAAAGCTCCTTGGTTTCATGTACTTTACAAAAATCTGCCAAAATTGAACTTGCTAAAAATAAGCAATTTAACAGTGCTGATAATGTACTATTAAACTACAAAATTTTGCAAATATAACCATTTTGTTAGCATTTTCTTACTATAATTTAATTTTATAAATATATTTGTTAATTATTATGCTAATAAAATGCTAATATTAGCAATATATTATCAATATTTTTGTAATAATAAAGGCCTAAAGATTACCATTATTTAACCAATTTATTAGATATTTAAAGGCACTGATAATGAAATAATCTTGTAATAAATTCTTAAAATTGCTAACTTAGTACTAATAATGCTAATAATGCACTATATATTGCTTATTATTTGCAAATAATTGCATATCTCGAAATTATCAAAGTAACTAACAAGAGCAGATAGAGAATAGGTAAATAAGAATCATAATAAAGACCATCTAACCCAGGGAATCCTAGTGGCAGTTGGATCCTTGGTTCTCGGACCAAATCTTCCACGCCCTCTTTCGAGTAGTCTTCATTTTTGGTTGTTTTTCGACAGTGAAACATATTTTTTTAGACGTAGTACCATTTTTCACTGTCACAACGTACATCCAGTAATCGTTATAAAACCCGGCATTCATACTGTATTAGTATTACAAACTAAGCGTTTTGAGTGTCGACGACAAATGATTTTTGAGTAATAAACTGAAAACCATATCAATGAGCACATGTAAGCTATTATACACTAACAGTTACCGTACGCACTGATTAAAAACCGGGGATTTTTTAACATTTCTACATAAATATCTGCATGCAAACCGAAGAATTCTATAAATCATGACTAATTAAAATGAAAAGTATGCATGCACGTGAATTTTTCATGATGAGAGTTTTTCTCTATGAAATGCCCGGTATTTTGTAAGCCTTTTTAATTAGATATTTAATCAGTGCGACGATAATTTCAAATTATTTAGATAGTTTATACTTATAATATTTATTACACTTCAAATATTAGTAATTGAATATTCGAAAAAGTTAGAAACAAGTTTAAAAAATTGCAATTTAAAACACTTCGATTATTCAAAATGCAGTATCGGAAGGGGGGTATGCTATAGTATATTCGGCCATCTTTGAAGGAAAAATATACGCCATAAAAAGTCTAAAAATAATTTAAGTTTCGATAATATAACATTCAAAAAATTTAAAAGTAAAGTAGTGTGCATTATTCATATTTATTCTTCGGTTTCTTACTATTCATATTTATTTAATAAAATGTATGTAGCTTAAGTATCTTTATATGGTCGACCACCCTAACATTATAAAATTCCTTATTTGTGCCGCATTGGCTTATACAATTTTTTTCTATTATTCAAATTTTCTATTATTCGAATTTTCGGTTTGACTTATCAACCCGTATTTGTTTTGCATGCAGTTACTTATATCTTAATTTCTTGGGAATTATTTTATGATATTTGTTATTTTAAATTATTGTTGCTAATTTTTTTCTTACTATTCTATGACTGGCCTCAGGTGTAAATATAAAGTTGTGTTTTTCAAAATGTGTTAAATTTACCCTTGATAAAGGGTTTGAAGTTTGAGTTGATTAATATGCAGGATCATTAAAGGATTGGGTGATTGTCTAAAATAGAACAAATGAAACTTGAATTGATGTACTGAATCAAAATGCTTATCACCATTTATTGTCATGTTTAACTTTTTTTAGAGAATGAATTATTGGGTAATCTCCTTAAATAATAAACCATTTTACTGCACTTTTCAAATTACTGTGTCCATCAAATTTCATGCATCACACATTACATAGGAATCTGGGAATCTGGAATCCTAATTTAAAATTTAAACACCACTGTATATTACACATGTATGTGCTAATTTTTTAATTAATAAATATATAAAGAAATTAATATGTAGATTAATTTATCAGTTATATAACTAATATAGTATCAAAAGCAAAAAATTCATTAATAGAATGCATATAAAAAAAAATTCCCAAAGTAGTAAAAAAAATTTTTTCCTAATCAATCAAACAATACTTATAATGGCAGATGCAGTTAACACCAAACTTAAATATTATCATGACACCTGTTTTGAGTGTCAAAGGTGTCTGTACTATGCAGTTGATTTGAAAAATACTACTTGTAAATGTGAATTATCCTTAGTGCTCACAAAAAAAAGCAAACTGATTTAGTAAAATAAGTGTATACACACATCTATGAACCTACCTAGACAGCACCCAAGTTTGAATATATTCATGGAAAAGTTATGGAATATAATTACCAAATAAATTTGAAAAAAACTTTTTGGTTTTCTCTTTGTGGACAATGCTTTAATGTTTTGATGAAATCGGATTCCAAAGCTAAAAAAAAAGCCAAAAAATGAAATTGATAACAATGTATGTGTAATATAATTTTTTATTATAATTATCTAAGTTATTAATCTTTTGTTTATAGAAAATAACTAGGTCACATTCTCTATCAACATCTGTTGCATGATAAATCTGAGTTTGCATTAGCTTATAAATTATTTGTTAAAACAGCTGATAGAATTTCATTACCTGCTAAATGGTTTTAAGAATCCATATCAACAATTGATGAATTTCTTTTATCCTTTTACAATAAAATTCACTTGGTGCAAAGAATAATACTATTATGCCAAGTAATTACTTCTTGACATTCAAAACACAAAGAGAGACAGGTATCAGCACTCAGCTGGTTGATGAACAAGATTTCATCAAGTTCAAATCTGAATATACAAAGTTAGCTGCTAGAAAAAGCGATATTGGGATTTATGTTACAATTTCACAACCATCTATCACTATTTTTCAAAATAAGCAAAAAAAAGAAAGTATATATATACATATGTATATATTTACACAAATATACATATTTATTTGTATTATTATTATATGTAAATACTAGCTATTTACTAAATTTATTCAATAATTTGGTATGTATCAATTATAATATAAATTATAATAATATAATTTTGCAAGAATCAGATTTAGGTGAATATGAAGAAAATACTAAATGATTCAACAAACACAAAAACAATAATTGAGCTCCAAGTATTTCATCTTTATCTGCATATGATAAGGAAATTGCTAAAAATGTGTTAACAATTAGAAATGCATATCACTGTAATAAGTATAATCATCTTTGTCTTAATAAAGAAAATCACAAAGAATTATATATCGAGATTATATTTATAATGCTTTCGACCTGGGCATCTGAGATGGTATTAGTATATTAATATTTATAGTAATATATTATTGTATATTATATTGATTATAAATTTTATTTATATACTAGCATACTTTTAGAACAAAGGGCTAGTTACAGGCAAAAATTCTCTAATACATCCTCTTTTTTCCTATACTAGGTTATCATCCAAAAAGCCACACTTAAAATTACAACCACCACCATCTACATTACTACAAATGCCACTAGTTTTACCATCTTTGCTAACACTACAAGTGCAACCACTGTCACCAGATATACAACTGTCACAACAATCACCACAAGCACAACTTATATAACTACAACAATCGCCACCTCAAGTACAACAATTACTATAAGCACAACTTATACAATCACTACTACTGCAACTACAACTATCACAACAATCACCACATCAAGTATAACAATTGCTACAAGCACAACTTATGCAACCACTACCACAAGTACAACTACTACAACAATCACTACCACTATCGCAAGTACAACAATCACCACAAATGCAACAATCACCACTACCATTACAAGTACAACTATTACAACCATTACTACAAGAGCATCCTCAATTGATTTTATCTCTATTTCTATTACAACAATCATTTTTATCATTAATACCAATGTCACAATAGAATTAGGTATTGAAGCTCAACCATTTCAGTCACATCAACCAACTTTATATAATCTGTATCAAACATTGCCTCATATTTTGACACAGTCTCATGCTATTTAATCTAACCCATATGTCTCTTCTACTTTACCTACTATGGCAGAATTTCTAAAAGAAATAGACAAAGAAGAAGAAACTAGTGATCATTATTGTCATGCTGATGACCAACACCCCTTGTATCGGTATTGCTAGGGTTGGGTACGATCACGGGTTACCCGATC